CATGGATGGGGGGGGCTGGCGAAACGGTCAAAACAAAGAAAGGGGGATTGCTCGGTAAATATTGGCGTGCCAATTCCATGCGTAGGCGTGCCAATTCATGCTAATCGCGTGCTAATTATTGGTTAAAAAAAATTCGGGAAAATCTTTTTTTTTCATGGATAGGGGGGGCTGGCGAAACGGTCAAAACAAAGAAAGGGGGATTGCTCGGTAAATATTGGCGTGCCAATTCCGTGCGTAGGCGTGCCAATTCATGCTAATCGCGTGCTAATTATTGGTTAAAAAAAATTCGGGAAAATCTTTTTTTTTCATGGATGGGGGGGGCTGGCGAAACGGTCAAAACAAAGAAAGGGGGATTGCTCGGTAAATATTGGCGTGCCAATTCCGTGCGTAGGCGTGCCAATTCATGCTAATCGCGTGCTAATTATTGGTTAAAAAAAATTCGGGAAAATCTTTTTTTTTCAAGGATGGGGGGGCCGGCGAAACGTTTCAACAGCCCCCCCCAAAGTTTATTGATTATTTCTCATTAAATATTGTCGTGCAAATTATGATAATAGTCTTGCCAATTCATGCTAATTGCATGCTAATTTTTAGTGAAAAAAAAATCCGAGATTTCAATATTGGGGGGGCTGGCGAAACGGACGTATAATATACACAATCATAAAATGCCTAGTTATTTATAAATATTAACCATATATATTGAGAATTGCTTGGTATTGTGGTAACTGGAACCCCTATAGGTACCTACATATAATAATATGTAGTAAATAATGACTTATTTTTATTGGGAATTTCTCATTTCTATTACATTATCAGTTGTTACGTACAAAATACAAATATTGAATGATTGTTTTTTGTATAATTAACCTCTTAATAATAATAATAGATTTACGTATTTGTTTAGTTCATATTATCTACCATGTACCAATGACAATTGACAGATATATCAAATAAAATTAATGATATAACAAAACTAAATTAACTGTAAAAACCTTTAAAAAAAAGTATGGGTTGCGGTTAAGTTGCGGTTTTTAAATAAATATAAATAAGGGTTCCGGTAAGGTTCCTGTTTTTAAATAAATTGAAATAAGTGTTCCGGTGAGGTTCCGGTTTTAAAATTAATTTGAATTAGGGTTTCGGTGAGGTTTCGGTTCCCAAAATTGAAAGGGTTCCGGTCCAAAACCGGTTCTTTTCGGTACGGTTCCAGTCCCTGATACAAATATCTCAAATTAGAAACTGGGCATGGAGACTCAATATGTTTGATCGACATTTTTCAAATTTAGAAGGAAAGAAAAGGAAAACATGTTACATGGAACTCGACATTAGAATTGACAAAACATTTATCATATGAAGAGGACAGAGACTTAATAAAATGTCTAAAAATTATTTCGTTCGTTAAAAAACTTGCCTAATAAACCATAACAATTAACTAATACATATTATCTCTATAAAATTGATAATTAAATATCATAATAATTTTTAATAAATATTTAAAAAAAACTTAAGCATGACAGTAGATATTTTATTTTATTTATTGACAGTCCTAAGCCTGTAAAAGTGAGAAGGAAAGTTTAGTTTATTGTATTATATTAAATAATAGTTGTATTTATAATCAATGGTTGCAGTATTCACACAGGAGCATGGACTGTAAACGAACGAGGTATCATAGGTCCCATAGTATGATCATGGTTCGCGGGGCACAGGTCGAATGTGTCCTGACTCTTGATAAAACCTTATCTTAATCTATAAAGTAATCGTAGACATAATAATGCTATACAATATAAATATTATATTATTATTAATTATTCATTAAATAATTATTCGAGCGTATGCTATCTCTACATTTTTTATATATATAACTTCTGTGGTTTAGATTTTTGAATAATTTATTTACAAAACGAAATAAATAATTGAACAAAAAACAACATTTTAAAATTGTTTATGTACCTACCCACACAAAAATAAACAATAATCATAACAACAAAAAACAGTAAAAAAAAATATTTAACCGTAAAACTGTTGACAGTTGACAGGACGAACAGACAGACAACGCCACAACGAAGTTTGGGATGAGCCCGGCGATGCGGCGTGCCGTATAATTATATAGGTACAATGTAAGCCACTGTCCGTAGCTCCGGTGACATTTAAGTCCACAGAAACAGACGGGGATGAGACGACTTCTTTCATATTCGTGGACAGAAAAGACTACCGTCGGTGCTCCGGAAGGGATTTTGCAGTGGCGGTTCTGGTAGTATTTTTTCGGTGAGGCAACCTATGTATCACCCCCCCCCCCCCACCCCCCATACAAAATTAGAATTCACAATAAATGTAATTTAAAAACATAAAAACAATTATAATTGTATGAATGCTAATAATATACTTGTTTCGTATAGTAAATAATATAGTAAGTGATAGATAGGTAATAAACAGAGCATTTTAAAATTTGGTAGTTCTGAAAAGGACCTTTTGAGTAGGCCAACAAAACATTTTTTGTATATAATGACTCCCACATAACCAAGAGTGTTGTTGATATAAATTTGGATTAAATGACCTACAGATTACCTTACTTAGATTCTTGTCAGGAGCCAAAGCTTACAAAATCGGAATAGGCTTACCCACTTTTAGCAAATCATTTTTATTATCAGAATGCCATCGTCGAAACGGGGTCTAAAACAACATAACTACCACGTCTGTCACTGGATACGTCATAACTCCAACAGTAATTAATTTAATAATGTTTATTACAACAAACTGCAGCGTTATTTTAACGTAGACGTTAAGACGAACCAGAACCACCGAAAAAGTGTAAGACACAACTACAAAAGCGACTATTCGTACAAGACGTCAAGACAGAAATGACTAATGACAAATATAAAATTATTATCAATAGATATTACAACGGACAACGGTTAATTAGGAGTATTAGGACTGTCCCGAGTCTCGATTGTAACAATAACATCTTTACTGATAAGCACGATTTAAGATAGTACTATATGGTTATATGGTTATAATTGATCCTCTTTTTTGTGTGTTTATACGATATGTAGTCGAAATAATGCTTCGATTTTCAACTTCAGTATCTTGTTCGATGGGAAAGTGAATATGGTTGGTGCATTGGGGATTTTGAAAAACAAAAGAAAAATTAAGGAAAATCGGGAATTTTTACCCAAAATCAACTTTAGTTTTCGGTGTAACTTAAAAAAAAAGACCATAGATACATGAAATTTTAACTGGTTGTTTCTATTTGCATTTTATACACACGATAACATTTTCAAAATATTTTGATTTGTTTTGAACTGTTTAGGGACATTTTCTGTTTCTAATTTTATTAGTTTTTTTTTCTATGAATGTCAATAACACTTTTTTTGTTGAGTAAAAATACTTTAAAATTTAATACAAAGCTCCTACTATATTGTTACAATGACATTTGAAAAATATTAAAATTTCTTAATCACAGTTTTTTTTTATAAGCATTTAGAGTTCAAAAATTAACAAAATGTGGAAAAATCACAAAAAAGCAAATTATATTAAGTTAAGAGTTCGTAAATATTTTCCTTTTTAAATATAAGATTTTAAAATGTAATACAAGATTCCTTATAAAAGATTTTCTACCTTTATCAAAAAAAAAAAAATGTCTATAAGAAAGTAAAATTAAATTTTTTGGAGCGTATGAAATTCAAATTTTTACAACATTGGATGAAAATCACTCGATTTCTCATGTAGCGATTTTCTTATTTTGTTGTAATTAAAAAACAAACAACTGTAGATACATGCAAATTTCACTGAATGTTTATTTTATCAATTTTTTTATTCTTGAAAAAATTTTCAAAATATTTTGACATGTTTTGAGCTGTTTACGGGCAATTTAATATTTTTTTTTTTTTTTTTTTATGAATATCAATAAAGTTTTATCTGTTGGGCCAAAAAGTGTAAACATTTAATACAAGGCTCCTCATATATTGTTACAATATAGCAGTTGAAAATATTAGAAATACATAGGCACAGTTTTTTTTTATAAGCATTTAAAGATCGAATTTTGACAAAATGTATCAAATTTAAAATTGAATAATTATTTTGTAGTTAAAAATCTATAAAATGTTCAACTTTTATATCTAAAGATTGAAAATTTAAAACAAGATTCCACGTAAGTTGTTAATTCTGTTACCAAAAAAATCTAAAAAATACATAAGCAAATTTTATTTTTATAGTCATTTTAAGTTCAAATTTGGACGAAATTACATATTAAAAACCTAGAATAACTGTATAAAATTATTCGTGGGTACTTGAAACTTCTAAAGTATACTATTATTATACAATTATTATTTATCTATGATAGTATAACGGTTTGTTGTTGATGTAAAACGCTTTATAAGTACCTAATGGATATTGTGATATGATTAATTTAGAATTTACTATAGGTCAATTTTTTTTTAATACCATAGATTATTGTATAATATTATGCCTTGTACCTAGACTGACATACCGTCTTCGCTCAGAATCATTTTTCTTGTACAATGATATTATATCATTGAATTCAAATGTTATATCATCCATTATACAGTGACCCACTTGTAACTTACTGTAGGTACAGGCGTACAGCAGAGCGACATCCACTTGCCCACCTTTTTTTTGTTATTTATTTATTTTTTTACTGTAGGCTTAACACCAACCGGATTTTTACATTGATTATTGAAAATGACTAATTAGCATATTGTATTTGTTTAAAATTCTTAACACTAAAAATAATACCGACTACACCACCATATTCTGGGCGGCTTATAATACCCAGCATGCGGCAAATGTCCCACAGATCTTGTTCTTCAGCCAACTGCTCAAATTCTGGCTCAAAAAACGTTTCCAGCATGGAAACATAACGCTGAACGTTGACGGTCGTGTTTCGCCCACCCTCCTCAAAAAAGTAAGGCTAACAAGGGAACAGTTGGTTCCAGAAAGATGGGGCTACGGCCCACACAGCGATTATTTTGATGACGAAACTACGGCAGATGTTCCCCACGCGCCTCGTCTCTCTGAGAGGTGACCTGGGGTGGCCCGCGAGATCACCGGATTTGAGCATTTGTAATTTTTTCCTGCGGGGCTACCTCAAGGAAAAGGTCTTCAAACACCGTCCTCACACTTTGCAAGAACTGAAGACCCGAATTAGAGAGGAAATCGCCGCGATTCCCGTCGATATGTGCCAGAAGGCGGTTGAAAACTTCAGGAATCGCCTCCATCAGTGCATCGCTGATGGAGGCCATTATCTTGCTGATGTGATCTTCAAAATTTGAGTGAAAAAAATGGGATGTACTACTGAACCAAATAAAACAAACCGCATTTTTCTAAGTTGCGCAGTTTTTTTTAATACCCCTTCAAAGCTGCACTGTTTGTTTTGCCCCATCCTGTATAATGACTAATGAGTATATTAACCAAAGTTACCTAATTCGTTTTTAATTTTAAAATGTTTAGTCATATAGCTATATAGGTGTCAAGGACTTTTATAAAAGATTGCCTTAGATTGTATTTATTATAACTTATTATTAACAAATAGCAAAAGCAATAAATTATGCAATGAAGTTATATGTGGCATAGACAAGCACTATTTGTTCATTATTTTAAAATATTTTGGTGTGGAATTAGGTGTGCAGTAGCAAAATATCTTAATTTTAGGGCCTGATCGCCATACCATAGATTAAACATACATATGTGTACGTTTAATCTATGTACCTACCTTCATGGCTACATACCTACAATTAGAGACAGTGGCGTGGCTAACTAAAAATTTTCCAGTGGCAAGTTACAAATATCCCAAGTATTAATGCATAATAATGTATTAAATATTAATAAAATATAACTAATTATATTTCAGATAGTTATGAACTACCTATTGAGTATATTATCATATTACCTACATTTACTTGGTGACCCACCGGCTACCACCCACCCCTCTATTTAAGAAAAATCTCAGAGGCAATCGCCTCTGAAATTACCGTTCACCACTATACTGATTAGAGAGCCTCTACCTATACAATATTATACGTTTCGATAGTTAATAGATGAAGAATAGCTCTTGAAAGCGAATCATATTTAAGGGGTTGAATTTAGGCAATATTCCATATCCTTCGGAAGTGCCGTGTATATTTAATAGTGTAATGATGGATCATTAGACATTAGTGTGTGAGAATTTTCCGAACGCTTTATATTATAATTTATTAAGGCGCCCAGTGCCAACGTATTGGCTTTACCAGTTTACAAGGAGAAATATGTATTAAAAATTACCTACCTCTCTGCCTAATGGTGGCCCAATTGATCCTTAATCCGAGCTTGGCATACAAACGAGCAGTCACATTTCAACCCATCTGGCTATAAAAGTCCCGATAAGCGAAAGAAAAATTGACTTAGTACCGAAATCCCATTTTGAAATTTTGAAAAGATATTAATTGAGTTCCTTATTCTCTTCTCTAAGTTTTGTAGGAAATGGATTTTTGATTTGTTGTATTGTTTAATTAGTAGGTAGGTATACCTACCTATTATCTAGGACCAAATAGTTTAAATGTTTTTGCAAAATGAACTTTTACTGTACCTAGTGTTACAGTTACAGAAAAAAAAAATTAAAATGTATTTCTTACAAAACAAATGCAAGAAGCAAACAAAAAACACATTTTTTCAAAAATAAAATTGAAATTCTGGAAGTATATCTTATTCTTTTGCTTATTGGTCTAAAATCCCTAAATCCACGTAAAAATGACAAGCTTAAGGCAAACTTAACACTAAAAACCAATTTGGAATATGCAAAGAGTCGTATGACCAGATTGAAACAATAGGTACCATTGTACATTTGTATCAATAACATCTTCGATATCGATAGACTAAGGGAAGTGGCTAGACAATTTTCGAATCTAGGCAGTCAATAAGCTTATGACAGGTTTAACTAACTTTAAACAATGACGTAGGTATTAGATAAAACAAATAAATGTAAATGTAAAGCTGCAGGAAAACTAAGTGGAAAAAGAAACCTATATTATATTTTGTGATAGGCTCCTGCTTAAAAAAAAAAAAATAAAAAATTTAAAAAAAATGGAAAATTTATAGTTTATCTATACATTTCAAGTACCTATTTTAGTGCATACTACAAAAAAACAATAGTTTAATTAAAATATCAATTTATATTACTTTTTTTCTCAACATTCATATAGATACTTACCTATTGTATAAAAATTAACTATGGTAAATAATTAATTGAAAACAAAAACTGTTTTGTATATTTTTCATTATAATTCATAAAACATAACTATTGCCCAACTGTATTTTGATAATTCTGTGCAATTCCCGGGTCGTGTTTAATTTCCCACAGTGTCCGGGCATTTTCCCAATTATGAACTTTGGCCGTAAACTTTACGACTTAAAGTATACATTCAAGTTTCTTATATCATGAAAATCTGGATTTTTTTTTAGTGATTAAAGTAAAATCGTAGACCGTAGTACTTACTCGTAGTAGCCTGGATAATCGAATTCGGAATTTTTTTGGACGGGTTTCAGGAATTGACCCCCCCCCCTCCCATCGTTCACAATATTATATTTATTGAATAATAGAAATTAACTTCAACCTTGCAGCAGCCTCAAAATACAATATTTGAAAATCACAGGCACTTTGCAGGCAGTCACAAAACGTTGCTGTGTTCATTGCGATCCACGTCCGTATCAATCAGGCCGCGTTCCTAACTTCAGACCTAACTAACCAGAACACTACCAAGGACCATAGAAAATAGATAAACCTACCACAGATTCCGTGACACCACTTTCGACGCGGAATGATACTACGACTCTCGATGATTGTCAATTGATAAAAATTAAGGTGTGTACTATAATTTGTACTTGTAGAAACAGTGTACGGTCTGCTGTGTTTGTGCTCTATCGTAATTTCGTTTTCTGTAGTCTGCTAAACATTCGAATCGCGGCGGACAGTTACGTTTTGATCGTCAGCACCCTCTCAGGTAAGCCCGTCCGATCCCGAACCAGCCCTTGTCCGCGTCCTCCCGACCGCTATCGATTCACTTTCAACGACACTTGTTTACATAATATTATTGTTCACACTACAACTACTGATTGTCGGGCGGTTCAGTGGGGACGATTTTGGGCGTGAACGGTCTCGTTTTTGATCGGTCGCTTTGACGTTGTTGTTTGCAGGTCGACTAACGAAATCATGGTGGACACCGGTTGTTTCTTCAACATTGACGGCGGATACTTGGAAGGACTGTGCCGCGGCTTCAAGTGCGGCATACTCAGACATGCCGATTACCTGAACCTTGAGCAGTGCGAGACCTTGGACGATCTCAAATTGCATCTGCAATCCACGGACTACGGCCAGTTCTTGGCCAACGAACCCAGCCCGCTGGCGGTGTCCGTCATCGATGACAAGTTGCGCGAGAAGCTCGTCATTGAATTTCAACACATGCGCAACCATGCCGTGGAACCCCTCAGCACGTTCCTCGATTACATCACGTACAGTTACATGATTGACAACATCATATTGTTGATCACCGGAACACTTCACCAGCGCCCCATATCTGAATTGATACCAAAGTGTCATCCATTGGGGAGTTTCGAGCAAATGGAAGCAATACACGTTGCTGCTACTCCAGCCGAACTCTACAATGCTGTGTTGGTCGACACACCGTTGGCTCCATTCTTCGTTGACTGCATTAGTGAACAGGATCTCGACGAAATGAACATTGAAATTATTCGTAATACTCTGTATAAGGCTTACTTGGAATCGTTTTATGATTTTTGTAAAAAGCTTGGAGGTATCACTGCTGATACTATGTGTGAAATATTATCGTTTGAAGCTGATAGACGGGCAATAAACATTACAATCAACTCGTTTGGAACAGAATTGACTAAGGATGATAGAGCTAAGCTGTATCCAAGATGCGGCAAACTCTACCCAGATGGTCTTGCAGCCTTAGCTAGAGCTGATGATTACGATCAGGTAACGTTTACCACATAATAGAATGACAATTGTTTTTAGAAAAAATCATATTCTGATATGCTTTTTATAACATATAGGTCAAAGCTGTTGCTGAATACTTCGCTGAGTACAGTGCTCTGTTTGACGGTGCTGGCACTAATCCTGGTGAAAAAACTCTTGAAGATCGTTTCTTTGAACATGAAGTGAAGTTGAATGTTAATGCATTCATGCGCCAATTCCATTACGGTGTTTTCTACTCGTATTTGAAACTTAAAGAACAAGAATGCAGAAATGTCGTGTGGATATCTGAGTGTGTGTCGCAAAAGCATCGTGCTCGCATGGATAACTACATTCCCATTTTCAAATAACTTATAAATCGATGGTTATTTGTGCAGGTACACATATATTATCAATTATCATCAATTTAACATTATAAATTATTAATACCCTTTATCGTACAGTTTTGAGGTATAATTTAGATTGTTCATAGATTGCATAGTATATTAATTCATTGTTTTTATTTATCATTCCAACGGTATTAATATGTCTGGAGCATTGTTGATAGCTTTTTCAGAATATTAAATGTTTTTGTTTTTATTAGATTTTAAGTGTCCAAAAGGAAAAAAAAACATAGTAAATTATTATCATTGAATTATTGGATAAGAAATCAAAAAATACCATCTTTAGATTTATTATAATTTTTGTTTTCAAAAGACCGTATTATATTTTAGACAGTCTTAATGTTTATTATGAAAAATAAATTTAATTTTCAAATGACCAGTTACTTCATGTTTTTATTTATTTGAAAAATTAATCATGCATCCTAAATAAAATACACTTCTACATAATGTTTTTTACATATTATGTACCTACTCAGTACTATAGTAAGTAATGATAAAAAAAAAAAAAATATTTTATTACAACTATATTATTAATATAAATAAAAATTAACTATTATATAAGAAAAACGAGGAGGTTGATTGCCCATTAAGCACGCCCAGTAAAAATGTCTGTTTTGTGGGTTTCAAGCTAAAAATTACACATCCACCACACAACTACGACCTAGTTGTCCTGAAGCTTAAATCTCCAGTCTTTAGCTGATCACCGAATTGCCTTTAATGAATCCTTCTTCCTATGTAATCTCAATGGTAAAATATTGATTTACCTTCCTTCTTACAACGCATACATTTGGTTCCCTCTCTACCTATCTGAAATGTTTTGTCTTTTATACCAATTAATAATGTATTATTCAATTTTGTTGTTGACTTATAAAACATATTACATATGCATGTAAAATGTACATCTTTTGTAATTGGGCTACTGACCGTAAAATGTTTAAAAATAAAAATTTTAAATTAATTACCATTTATTTAGAATTATATGAGGTTAGATACATGTCCACAAATAATAATTATAAGTAGTAATAGGGCAGGTCAAGGACACCAGGACAATTCATTAAAATATACCCTAAATCATTACTAAAATAACAATTCTAAAATTTTCATTAATTTCTATGTAGAAATATCCTTCATTTATCCACCAAAAAGCACCAATTTTCAGTTTTTTCCTACTATTTTATAAGGGCACAAACGTGCAGCCTAAAGGCGTGCGCACGGGTGCAGCGAATGCTGCTTTCGATGCAGAGGCGTGTCTAGGACCGAATTTCAGGACAGGCCCAGCTGCAAAAATAACTTGTGTATAGTCAACACATTTTTAAGTTTAAGAAAAATTGTATTATACTTTTTAACTCATGAGTATGACTTGTAACATGACGTACCTACTATTTATTAAGAACTATTTATAATATAAAAAATTCAAAACGAAGATTGTCACTCGAGGGCTCGGTCGCCAACCGTGACAATAAATTAAACACAAAGGCGGTGATCGCCGACCAAACACCGACGGTCGTCGGGTCGTGTAATATCTATATAGAAATGTGGGGTATTTCCAGGAAGCGTTTGAGAATTGCCGATAAATTTTACTATTGTTAATTTTATTTATAGACAAATATTTAAATTGTTTACAGCAAAAAATATGATCGATACATCGTGTGCTTATATAAATATAATTTTAAAATGCATATTTTGGGTACACTTAAAGGTTAAAAATCAGGGTAGGCCCGGGCTTCAAAAATTTGAATTCAAGAATGGTGAAAGTCAATTAGTTGAAAAGATAAATAATTTAAGGAAAGAGATTAGGTATGAAAGTGCCTCCCAAGTTGTTATAGGATCAATTCTCAAGATTAAACAAATTACAAAAGGGGGAAATTGAAAAATGATTTTACGATTTTGATAAAATCCTTTTAAACATACAAAAGTTTTGCTTTCTATATATTGGGATTTATTTCCTAAATGAAGATGAAATATGCTGTACTTCAATATAAGAATGCATTGATGGAATTTATTTTACAATATTAAACATTTTTTGAAATTGTAAAATTTGTCAATGAAAGAGTCCTTATCCACTTCCATTTATAATAGATAAAAATTATTTTATTACAATACCTGTTTTACTAGGCACCTACTATTTGAATACATTTTGTAATAAGGAAAATATTTGAAGAAAAATTAGTGAACTGTATATCACAGAGAAATAGGGTACATTATTTTTTATCTGAAAGAGATAACATTATTATTGGTACAGAGATGTAATGAATGTTATCATAATCTCTCAAAATAGGTTCAACATGGTTAAAGTGAACATTGAAAGTAGTTGTGATGATTTAAATAATATTTTTAATGCTATAATTGTCAATCCTTTTTCAAAGGATGATGTTTTAAATAAAATAAAATCTGGTGAATTGAAAATAGTGATCTTGTTTTTAAGACTTAGTTTGAAGCCTGGTAATCGAGCCACACCCTAAAAATACACATAAATATTTAATAAGTATTTAAAAAATATTTCATTCCCTAATTATTTTGTGAGCGATCTAAATGTTTCATTAGATTTTGTGAAAAATAAAGGATTATTCTTATTAAAATTCAGTGAAAAAAAATTATTCATCCATCAATGTCAATTTGGTCATTTACTTAAGAGGACATCGCACCAAAACGCATGTTTTGACAATGAAGTACCTGAGAAATCCAAAACTGCTCTAAAAATTTGAGGTGTTACTAGGGTTTTAAAAAATGGTGAATTATGACTAAAAATGATAAATTCTCACTTAAAAATGAGAAATTTGAGATTGAATTGGAAATCTGAGTTTCTTAAAAAATGGTAAAAAAATATATAATCCATCGAATTTGTTGGAAAATTGTATACAAAAACTTGAAAATTTCATGACCTGAGTTGACAAAAATTGTGAGAGAATAGGTCATTTTTTTTCCCGAAAACAAATGAATTTTCTCTTAAAAGGAGTAAAAATTGTTATAATAAAATATGATAAATTTTACTGTATACCTTGGTAAAATGATACGTTATTGATTTGTGATTTCTGTCTGAGAAATAGGTAAATATTTGATTTTAAAAATTATTTTCTTTGCTGAACGCTTGTGCCCCTATAAAATAGTAGGAAAAAACTATGAAAATTGGTGCTTTTTGGTGGATCAATGATGGATATTTCTGCTAAGAAATTTAGGAAAATTATAGAATTGTGATTTTAGTAATGATTTAGGATATATTATAATGAATTGTCCTGCCCTATTACTACTATTATACATTTGTCAATAAATACGAAAAACATTAAACATAACTAAAACTAACATATAATTATTCTTACATTAGGTATACAAATTTTACATGGAACATTTATTTTTTACTTTTTAAATCTAAGTACATTTACTTAATTTATCTTATAAAACTAACTATACAGTCTATGTAGAAGGATTCAAATTACATGCATTGCAGACATTTGAGTAATACGACCCTGAGTTCACGCCTACAGTCTTAAGTTAAACAAATTTATTGTAATTAATAATAAATTATTTTTAGTATACTGCTCATCAATACATAAACACGCTACATTTTTATTTAATTTTAACAATGTGTTAATAAAAAAAAAAAAATAAAATGAATATACTACAACGCAAAATCGTGGCTAATAATATTCTGTAAAATAATTAACTAACTTAATGGTCCCACGTTTTATGAACATAATAATAATTGTAATAAATAATACATTTCAATAGAAAAAAAAAATTACAATAGTGCATGAAATAAATAATAAGCAAAAAACAAATAAACCACCCCTCCAAAAAAAATCATAAATTTAATGGTTTAATGGTGTAGGTGCAAATTAAAAATTTTGTGCAGAAATAGTTGGGGGTGGGTTATTAAATTATTACAATTATAGGATTTTCAGAAATAAAACACAATACACCATATATTATTCACATATAAGTAGAAAACATTCAATTTTTTGTATACAATTAAAATAAATTTACTAATATTTTAAATTAACACGACGTTACATAGTATGTTAGCTAAATAATTGCCTACAGTCAACATTTATCCAGCAATTACAAAAATATATTTGCTGCTAGACAAAAAAAAAAAATAGAATAGAATAGAGAAAACCAAACTAATGTGGGTCACTCACGAATGTTCAGGAAATGCAAACACCATTCTATGTCTTCACTGTCATCCACTAACAGCTTCAATCTATGTTAACAGACAAAACACAAACAACTTTTAGAACTAAAATAATAAATAATAACTAGTACGCTATGATTTAATTGCATATCACCAATTATATTTGAAAAGCTTCAAAAGAAAAACTTACTGGTTTTTATAATTGTCACAGCTTTGCTGGTTCATAGAGTCCTTCATGTGTTTGAGGGCAGTTATACACTGACCTGATAGCGATTTAAAACACTGTCGGCGTGCAGCATTGTGGGCAGGATTATCCCATATAGGAGTATTACGAACATGCTTCCATGCCATGAACACATAGTCCATAACGATTGGCCACTGATTGCTCTCAACCAAGCGTCTACCTTGATCAACAACACATTTCTGAAAAACACATTTAATAATGCAGGATTAAAATATTGTCAATACTAAATAAAAACAAGTAATAAACTTACCTTGAATGCTAAGACATGGGTTGAGACTCTGTTATAGGCAGTTGGATCAGTTTTTGAAATCAATCTGCTACTTGGTAAAGCCTTGTAGATATTACGTCGCAAATAATAAATACGCTCTTCAAGGGGCTTTAAGTCGGCCACAGGGAAGTGTGATCTAATTTCCTATTGGTTAAAATAAACATCTATACAAAGATGTTTTTGAATAAAATTTAATATGACGTATGTACCTTTTCAATACTCGGATGGTCAATAACAATCTGTCCGATTATACCAATTAGCTGATCCGGAGACAATGATTTTAAAGCAGACAAAAGACAATTATCTTCTGGAAGTTCAACTGCCACTTCAGTACGTAATTTTTTACAACTTGGAGAGCCCTAATCACAAACATATTGTTAAGTATTAATAAAATTACTAACTATAGTAACTTTATACATACAATTTTGTATTTGTCTGGAGATGATAATTCCAATGGATCATTTAACAGTAATCTTTTGCGAGGAGTACTCCTCAGAACAATCGAACTTTTGAAATTAGAACAACCAGATTTTGTTGGAGTTTCTTGATTATTCTAAAAATACATTTTAAATAAAATCGATGTAATATAATATGGCAACTGAAATGTTAATCATCGATTGTGTAGTGAATATTTATAATATATAATCAAGGATTTTCGTGATTTGTGGTTTCATTTATTGTAGTGATAATTTAATAACTGTAATATTATGTGTGAAATAGTTTGCATACAAAATTTAAATATTTATCATTTAATATTTTAAACAGAAATTAAAACATTAAATGAGTTAAACAATTTTTATTTTAATAATTAATAACTAAATTAATTATATATTTCTAGTAATAAATTTCTTCCAAACATGATAGTTGATCTCATACACAGCTGAGGTTACTATATGTTTGGAATTTTTTTTGAAACCTATTAGAAATATATTGTAATAATATAACTAATGATTATTAATGAGTATATTTTAATAATTTCAAGTTGTTTTATATTTTAAAGGAATATTTATAATCATCAAGACAATTTTACATAGAACAGTTTCAAGATTTTTATTTAGAGGCTCCAAGAAATATTATGATAATTAACACATTGATTTTTTTTATCTAATCTTATGATTATGAGATTGTTAAGAATATTATTATAATTGATTCCATATGTCCAGATATTTACTAGCAGCATTTATCTATTATTTACAAAAATCGAAATATGAGAAAATAATTATTTGGTCATGGATTTTATCAAAATTAAGCATGTGTTTCATATTAACATTAAAACAGGATAAAAGATATAATTAATCACATAATTCCATATCTATCCATACACTAAAATAAATTTAAGGTACCTACTCGTTATAGCTTTAATCATAGATATAATAATTTTAACATGAAATATTAATATACCTACTAAATGATTAGTTATCAGTTAATATTATTTATCTTATGATAATTATTTTTTTAATTGAAATTTGGTATTTTAAAAACTTATATAGGGATTATACAAGCTGGTTCATATCTATATTCATTTTACTCAGAAATTCAAGTAATTATTTTAAGATATGCATGTATGAAAATTAAAACCTATTAAAGATAAATGTATTTTTAATCTTATTAGGAATTTATATCTGGATATTCTGTATTTATAAGATAATAATATTATTTAAACCTACCAATATTTATAATTTAAAAACATATAAAAAAAAATTATTTCAAACAATTACATAACCAGAGAAGGGCTAACTAACTAATATTTGTATTCTATACTTGTTGCACAAAAAAAATAAATCAAAATTTTAATCATATCAAATGTATAAATTGATTTGAATTTTGAATATTTATAAGTGAAATAAGACATTTTATAGTTGAAACATAAAACCATACCACATTGTTAAACTTAGTAATAAGTTATGATACTAATAATAAAAAAAAAAACCCAAAGATTAAAATAAGGTAAAATGATGGTAGAGTTGGTAAGTAATTAAAAATAAAATATACCTAATGAATGAAGCCTACCTGTTTGATGGCATCAATGTCAGGACTAAAAGTAACCGGTATTTTACGGCGGCCCCTTTGTTGGATGATTAATTCATCTGGACTAGGGGATGGCGTCATCATTGATGTAGGATAGTTACTTATAGTGGTATTCATTATAATATTGAGATGGTGATCATTTCGGCCCAAACCTAATGAAGGTATGGTAATATAGTATATATTTAATAAGGTTTATTTGATGTAAGTATTGCAGCTGTATTATTAATAATATATACATATTATATTACCATTGTTTGGGTCTGTCATAGATAATCGTCCTAGCCTAGTTGGTATCTCAGCTAGAACGCTTCTGGTCATCATCCTAGTTGGCTCTGGATTAAAAGGCGGTGTCTCCATTATGTTTTATTCAATCAATATCCTCAAAAACTGTTTGTACGAATTTCCTGTAAATAAATATTTAAAAAATTGTAATCTGATTTAATTTTAAATACAATGTGCTTGGGATTCTGATTAAATACAACCAAGAATTCAAACTTAAAAGGAATTGAAGGTATCAAAACCTAAAGTGGTAATTTACTGAAGAGAAATTATTAGAATTTAATTTTTAATATTTAAGGTACTTCTTCCACTATCAAAATATGTGTACTTATACTGGCTGGATTGCAAAAATGTTGGAATTAAAATGTGTAAGTAAATAAATAACATTGAAAAAGTATTTTTTTTTTGCTTTAAAAAGAAGGAAAATATATAGGTACACCAACCCAAACCAGAAAATAGTACAATAAAAGGTATTCTAAGGGATAAACTTCCAACAGAGAATAAGATATTTTAGGCGGTGAAAATATTAGGTATAATAAATTATAAAAGTATTATTTATTAAATATCCCACGTTATATCATGCTAAAATTTAAATAGGTATGAATATAACTGTAAACATAGTAAAATGCAGTGGCGTATATAGGGGGGTGGGCATAGTGGGCTGCAGCCTCCCCCCCCCCGTAAATTACAGTATTTTTAAATAGAACAACAATATATTTTATTAGATACTACCTATTATAAGATATAATATTTCATAGCTTGTTGAAAAATACGAATATATTTATAGAAACTGTTAAATATATAGTAGACAGTAGCCTCTAAGTAATAGATCACTTGCTAATTTCTATCTACTACAGCCCACCTCAAAAATTATTTCTATATATGCCACTGGTAAAATGAATAATAAGTATGATTAACGCAGTTATCTGATGAGCATACTTCTTATTAATTTTACTATGGCTGTAAATAAATTGTCAGCAACAAAAATAGGAAGATAATCAAGAGTACCTATTCATAATAAAGTACAAGTAGAACATAGGCAATAATTATTTGACTAGAATAATGTATTCCTATTTTCTATTTGTGGTAAGCGACATATTACATTTAAATACTAGGTACGAAACTACCAAATAAAAATACAATCCGTTATATTATATACAAATTGGGTAATAAAAATAAGAAAATTTATGTTGTAATATAAGCTACATTTTTAAAAATATAATTGGATAAAACCGATATAGGTAGGCACTGAATAAGAGAAATAGGTAAAACAAAAGCATGTATGTATATAACCATCATGATGTCTTGGGTTATTTTTATAAAATAATAAAAAAGTACAAAGGTACCATTAAGTGTATTATGATGTAACCTATTAACATAAATAATATTTTTAATCAACTAAAACATTGTATTCGACTTTTGACATACCAAGATAAAAGCGGTCAAAACTAGGTAAAAAAAAGGTTTTCAAGAATCATATATGTAACTAGATATATAAATTTCAAACAAATTGGGCAAGTAGGTAGCATTGTTTTTATTTTGCTCGTAAAAGAAGGTAGATAGTTTGTTAATATTTTATTATTTTTTTTTTAATTTAAATGATTTTCTCTGGAAACGATAAAATCATTTAAATTTGAAAGATACTTATCACTTGTCCTGGAACCTTATTAAATAGAAATATTGTAAGTATAATACTAGTAATGTGATATGAAGGTACCTTAGCCTAAGTACCTCCTGTTAAAAAAAAAAATGTCAAGATATTGTTGAACGAGAACAAATATTAAAAGTATGAGATTATGCCTTTAAAAACGATGATGATGAAGTTAACACCTAAGTCCACCCAATTGAATAGGTAAGTATTTTTCAACACGATATAATCATTTAAAATGTTTTCGCAGGCAAATGCCATATGATATTGTAATCGAATAAATGACTTGTGGAATATTCAAAACGCGGTGTGACCATTTCCGGGCATTTGCATAATAATAATAATAATAACATGCGATTAACCTATTTCGTAGATTGCAGACAGACAGTCGTGGTCGTGGGCGAATTAAATAAAATATAGTTTCACGCGGGTACCGATTTACGAAAATTTTCTCGTTGAAATTCCAGATATCCAACCAAAGAGGTAAGTACGCATTAGGTGCTTACTTCGTACCACCTCGGCAATAGATTTTTCCAGCAGACGTTAAAAATAAAATTAGTCGCCTAGTTTTAAAATAGAAAAAAAAAAGTGAATTCTAAAAGCCGTGCTCCTCGACCACAAAATAAATCCAATTACCTGAGATCACACGAATGTCGTCGAGTAGAGGTATGTTATACTTCAACACTACGTTCTACAAAAACTTTCCTATCTACATACTTTAAATCGTCATGCCTATAGCCTGGTATCGGTACCACCTGTTTGGATATCAAATATCAAATAATGTAACCAATATTATTTTAAATTATTGAGGTGGTCCGATGTGTCTCGGGATAATTACGGCTACCTAGGAGGGACGTGGTCGGGGGAAAAAGTTGATTAAAAAAGAAGCCAAGCACAAAAACCACTAAGTACTAACCTTTAAACTCCTGGACGGTGACGTGACACAGTGCTTTGCCGCCAAAAAAAAAAGATAAAAAATAAAAAGGAAAAACAAAACAGTAATTAGCGGTCGGGAAAACGATTAGACGACTTTCAGCTCGAGACAAACGCTTCGAGCGAGCACTTCTCCGGACGGATATCGCTTACGACGGGCTCAGTTTGTCGATTGTCCGTTAAAAATTGTAATGCGGCGGCGGCGGCGATGACTGGGCGGGCGGGGTGCGGTGACCACTCGTGCTGCAAGACGGGAGGAGCAAGAAGTCGAGTTGCAATATGATCGGTCGGGTGCCGGGTGCGGACTGGTCCCGCGACCTACGGGAAGTCGGAGTACCGGTTACCAGTATCGGCATTCGGCGGCGACCGGTTAGTAGTCAGATGCCTTTGTCCCGATTGCGCGCAGGGATTTTAGCGGGAAAATCAAGCGGACTCCCGCCCGTCTATTGGGGAGTCGCATGGCGGTCACGCCATTGGCCCGCCGTCGACCAGTGGTTCCCAAACAGCATGGGCCCGCTTAAATTCGAATGTGCGCTCGTCCGCCGTCAGCGCGAAGAAAATATTATTTCTATCCATAAAATTATAAAACACTATAGCAAATTGCTATTATGGACAATTATTCAAATGGCAACCAATAATAATATAGTCTTCCTTCAAAATCTACTCGAGCAGCATACACAAGCCCAAGACTGTTCGAAGTTCAACCTGTTGCTATAGAGTCACAGACGATAAAAGTACCAACAGTAGGTACAAATTACGCCCAACATCTACGTTCCGCTTCAACTCATTTTTTCAAATTTAATTTTATTACTGAGCTCACGAGAATGCGATTTTGAATATCAAACCTCATATGGGCAAAACTGCAAATGTATGTACCTCAAGAGCAGGCGTAAGAGTAATCAATTTAAGATTATCATATGAAAATTTTTTTTAAATAATTTCCTATATTTATTGGTGTCATGTTTTTTTTTATGCAGTCACATAAAATGGGCCACTTGATATATAAATTATGGACAAGTACAAAATTTAATTTGACATTGACACCATAAAAATCATTACAATGCATACAATGACAATAATGTAGTCACACTACATACAATTAATAAGGGTATCAAGTTGAAATGTATTAAAAATCTTAGTGGACTGAAAGATTAATTTAAAATGAGTTTTTCTTTATCAAAAAATTATCTTATCTGTAGAGTAAAAATGCAAAACAATAAATCATTTTTACAAAAGGAAATCAAAATTATTTCCTTAATGATTCATGGTTTAAATTACTCAAATACTAAAGACAATCCAAGTTATACAACTTAAATATTTAAAATTTAAGATTATTAGGGCCAATTTTGTATCGTCTATGATTATGGTTAATCAGAGTTTAATCAGACGAATTTGCCCGTTTAAATATCTGTTATCAGCTGATTAAGCTTAATCATAGTATAATCATATACGGTACAACTGGCCTTAGAAACCATATTGAATATATTATAACTATAAATAAGATCACAATAATATAGGTGGGTATTCAGTCATAGTAAACTGTGATAAATGCAAGTAAACTAAATAATTATAGATATTAGATAGGTAGGAATCTCTCTTAAAAATAGATTTTACAGGTGATTGATAAAACCATATTATGCAAAAACCAATTAGATTTGTTTTTATAAAATTACGTTCAAACGTTTTATTTTATTTCCGTGTTATTCTAGGTATTTTTTAATCCTAATATTATTTCCCAACAAATTATCATATAAAATGTCTATAATTTAGTTACATCATTGATTTTAAGTACCTATAAAATGTTGTGTTTGAATTATTTACAATATTATTTAATTGTGTTAAGCTGGATTTAAAAATAAGTATAAATTTGAAATAATATTCTTGATTAAATAAATTATTTTCTCAACTATTATTGCTGATTCAAATTTCAACAATTGTATGTTATAGATAATTTATTTTTAGTTAGTTTAATAACTTGTGTCTTATCTTTAATATTAAGTCTAAAAATGAAAACAATTTGTGTATGTAATTGTTTAAAATGTATATATTAACGGTGATTTCATGATGTTACGTCTTATAAACTAAGAAATTATGATCACATTCATACATCAAGTTACATAATATTTCATGAATGAGCATGTAAATTATATGATAAAACTTTATTGATTATAAATATATGGAATAGTAACATAAAAATAATACCTAAAAGTGTACATAAGAAGTGTTATTGATTAAAATGAATCATTATAATAATGTCAATTTAAAGAGTAGTTTTAGACATAGAAAGCTTTACATTTAAAACAATGAAAAATGTTTGTTTAAAAACAGAATGTTTAGAATACTGAGAATTTAGAAAGTAATAGTATCAAGAGTATTTCGACCTCCGAGTTTAAATATAATAGATAAACTCCTCTTAAAAATAATGACTGAAATTGATTGGTAAATTAAATAAGTCAATATATAATTACGACTGTTTCAATCATCAATAGCAATACTTTGGTATTACTATTATCTAACATGCAATTTTGGTAGACAAATTACATGTCAACAAAATATGATAATAATTTTTTCATATATATAATATATAAATAGTAAAAAAAGCGTGTTGAAGCTGCATTTTCAATTAGTTTCAGCCTTACTAGTTGGCACAAGTATGTAATAATGTTCACTTGTTCTGAGTTGAAGTTTCTGTCTGAGATGATGTACAAGGCTTGTCTTCTAGAACTATAGGTATCCATGCTTGATTATGTAATGCTTGCAAGCCTAAACTTAATTCTGAAACAATGATTTATCATTTAAGTTAAATTTTAATTAGGCGTTAAATTAGTTTTGGTATTAATGGGTTATGACCTGTATTGATTTGTTAAAATATTATGTAACCGTACAATGTACGTATGTGGTTAAAACCACATGTTAAATAAATTATTTTTTGTATAAAACATTGTAAATAATAAACAAGTAATGAATATATTTTAGTACAATCATGTAAAAAAAAACCAATCCATATTTTTATTATTTATGGTTATGATGATCAACCATATTGTTCATATTATTGATTTTTATATAAATTATAAATAACTACCAAGTCTATTGAAAAATGAAAATGAAAATGAAAAGTAAATTTATATTTATATACAATCATAATAAATGTGGGATGATCAAAATTAAGTTTAAGTTCAATTGGAAAAAAATGGTTTAAAATTGTTATAAGTATGTAATGTAAGGAATACAACACACGGGCATTATTTTACCGCATGTATATTTTATACATAAATCTATCCTATATAGATATAAAATATACTTGCGGGAAAATAACGCACGTATGTTCCCAGCCTAAGGGAGACGTCTATGTTACATAGACATCATAATATATTCCAGCAGAATACAGTTTTTCTAAGAGATAATGATTTTTTTTGTTTTATTACCAGAAGTTGCAGATTTCTTTCTTTTGTGATCTTTTGATGGATTAAGATGTGAAAATGGAGCTTCTAAGTCTACTTGAATTGTGTTGCTGAAAAATAAATGTTTAATAAGATTTTATTATAATCAATGTTTAGTATGATAATGAAAAAAAAACTAACTCAGTTTTGGTCAAAGTAACTCCTTTTTTTGGAGAGTCATTGAGTTGCATATGAAGGGAATACATTTCTGCCAAATGTGATAGTTGGTCTTGTTCGTTTTTTGGCATTGGATGTAGCCTAAAATATAATATACTTTTTAGTTACAATTTAAAACCATACAGAAAGTAAGTAGTAAAACAATTACCTTAATTCAGACTGAGCAGGATCTCGTAAGAAACGAGATACTTTTTCATTAGCTGAAGTCATAACAGAGAAACTAGGTTTAACTGACCGAACTCTGCGTAAGCCTCCACGAATTTCTCTATCACTCTTCTAAACCATATATTAATGTTTTTTTTAAATTGACAAAACAACAACTAAAAAAAGTATTTCTAGTACCTTAAGAAAAGTATTTCTATGCCACATTGGCATACGCCCAGGTCCTCTTCCTTCAGCTAAAGGGCTATTTTGTAAATTAACCGATAACAATTTCTGACAATCAATTTTAATTGGTTCGGCATCATCATCAGTTACTCCACCAGCTCCACATGCATTACCAACCCAATCACTCTGTTCATCATCTCCTAAATATTAAAATCAAATAATGGTTCATAAAAATATGACTATGTATAACTTTTATTAATATTAGTTTTACCTTCTCTTCCTTCATCATTAGTATAAATTCCAGCTTCACTTTCTGAGGAACTAATACTACTTGAGCTACTAGCAACATCAATATCCATTGATTTGATATTTGAAGTACCCTGATGGCCAGCTATAATTTCTCGATTACTGCGCTTTCTTTTACCAATAGCCAAGATTAATGATCCACAGTTTCTAAATTTTTAAGGCATTTTGTTATAATTAATTTTAAGTATTTTAATTTGAATAAAATCATATTTATTCAGTTAAACAAAGAAAAACAACAACAGTACCTTGGCATACTAGCCGAGTGACGCGTAGTTCTTCTCTTCTCGCTGCTGCTACTTTGAGAACAACTACTAGTCATTTGTGATGGAAACTTCACATCTGGATCGACAATCATCTTTTTGAATTTTCTTTTTCTATAAAAAAAAAAAAAAAATAAGAACATAATATAAATGTTAATATTTTATCAATAATCAATTATGATAAAATGTGATCAATTATTTAATTAAACCTTCTAGTGAATGGCCTTCCTGGGGTAAAGTTTTCATTGACTGAATCTGATTCCAAATGCATTAGATGTTTTGATAGTAAAGCAAACCGGATGGGTTGTGGAGCACCACTTATATCATCTGAATCACTCTATTTTTGAAATAAATTATATTAATTACCCTTATCAAATTATTGATGTTTGTAAAACAATTAAAAGTGTTCTTACATGATAAATACTAGACACTCCTACATCCTTGGAATTACTACTGGAATCATCACTTTGAGCTTTATTGTCTGGATATGCTAAAATACGAATAAAATTAGTTTGAAAGTAATGAATAAGTTTGTGATGTAATTTATAACATACCGACACTACTGGCAGATCTTGTTCGTCGTCTGAATCCTAATGGCCGGATGAATTTGTTTCCTTTGTCCATTCTAAACTAAATAAAGAATGTTCATCATATTAAATAATAATATTTGATCATATGATAATAAGTTAAGTTAGTCAACAAACATAAGTTATAATTTTTTTTAAGTATTTAACGAAGGTCTTTAACTTAATTAGTTTTGACATGAGAGCTTAGGTTATTAGTAATTACATAAACAATATATTATGATTACAAATTAAAGGTATATTAGATACAGATTATGTTGGATAATATGTATTTTGTTCAAAACAGATCAAATTGATGCCCTTTGTTGCCCTTCATTTTCCATCAGAAATAGATAAGAAATATTTAAATGTGATCATAGACAAATATTTATCTAAAACTACTAACCCAGTTAATTCAAAAAAAGACAAAAAATACTTTCACAACAAACATACTTTGTCTGAGGTACAACTACACTAATATGTAGGGTATTACCTTACATACTAATTATAACTGTATTTTAACATAAATTAAATATTTGGACAATACAAAAAGTTTGTACAAAAGATACAGACATTTTAAGCTTTGATATTAAAACATAGAAACAACTACCTATAAATTGGAAATATGGTTTGAAAGTATGAGATAAATAACGGTTTAATCAAATAAAGTTGGTAAGATTTGTATACAAATTAATAGACATTCATGTGGATATGAGGCACTTGTCTCGGAACGTTCACCTCAACACAAGATAGCAATGTTTACTTATAATAATGATAAATGTTCATAGAGAAAAACAATTATTATAATACAAACAGCAACTAGATAGTTACTCTTTTCAAAATAACACAATAAACATTTGTTGAGAAAGCGGAATAAGCCTTTTGTCTATTACTATAAATATATTATTGCCTATAGTCTATTATTCTATAAGCAGAATTATAAATAACTGTGGACCATACCTACTCACAACGTATTATGAGTGACCAAAAATTATAAATCTCATCTAGACAATCTGAATAACAGTATTAGGTACCTACTAAATTTTTACATTAATATTGTAATTGGTTTTCTTTCATATCCTTACTTATGTACTTGGGCAATTAAAATTGTTTGATAGGTACCTAATTGGTAGTGCAAGTCCAGAGATCTATTAAAAAAATTCAACCCATGATCAGGGTTATCAAATAATTGAATATTACTCAAACTAAACAAAATGTCGGCAATCTTTGCAATTGAATTATTCTGTCAGGATGTAGGTAGTGAGGTGACAATTAACCTTTAGTACAACGGTAGGTACCTACCTCATAAAATCTGAAATTACGACACTTTGTACTTGTCCTAATGATAATATTATTACCATAGAAAATCAAAATAAATAACCTTCAACGGGTGAAAGCGGATACACGGTAAGGGTGGTTCTCTGACCTATTACGGCCTAGACAGACTTGAAGTCACATACGTAACTACGATGTCAAATACCTGATTCCGTTCAGGGTCCATCCAGTGAGCTTCTAAAAGTGGAACGCCTACGAGTAAAAGCTGTGGCATGGCGAACTGAAAATTTTCTAGGGACAAGTTACGAATGTCCCAAGTATTAATGCATAATAATACTACCTACTAATTACAACTAATTATATTAGTATTGACTGCCTATTAAGTATATCATAATATAACATTTACTAAGGCACACAGCAGTTACAACCCACCCCCTATTTAAGAAAAATCTCAGAGGCAATTGCCTCTGAAATTACCGTTCACCGTGCCACTGGGAAAGAGGACGCCATCGACTGATCGGTGAGCTGATGAAAACGATGAAAATTCAAAAAATCTTTTAGCACGAACAAACGATGAGGGTGTGAGGGGATCGTCAGACGAGATCGCGACCGTCCGTTGTGCGACATTACATTTAATCTACTAAACATCCGTGTACGACCTGTCACAAGACATTTGGCAACTACAATATGTCGTGTACGACCGTTTAAAAATGGGTGGTAGTGTTCGATTTCGGTATTTACCTTCCGGGCGTGCAGACGCGCGACGGCACAACTCAGAGTGCCCGGCACTGGTCGCATAAGTAACTCTTCGTCTACCGCACCATTTGTCGTATACGAAATATTTATTCTAACGAGTCAGACGGCAAGTCGATGAATGACCGAACGCGTTGTCGCACTACTGTCGTCGAACGTCGACTGGGCGCTATGAAGCGCGCTGACTGCTAACGAGACTCGGCCACTACTTTGTCGTCTCGTTCGGAGACGAATCACAGACCACGGTCGTAGACTTTCACCGTTCACTCCGGCGGCCTGTTGTTCTTTTGTGCGGCAACGACAGTTTTTCCTTCCTTTTCTACTCGGCGCTCGATCACCACACAAAGGACTTATCATGTGACCGGGCAAACAAACGACAAAGCAATCACTATAATTCAGTCGTGTCGAGTCATGGTCAGGAAAAATTATGGCACCCGAAACAGCTTTTGAGTTTTGGCTACACTGTGATGATAAAAATCCCGTATAAATTGTTGGGAACTTGGGACACGCCAGGCACAGGCGCTGAGGCGCCGGCGCCGGGCGGCGGGCGCACACAGGCACGCACTGTATTGTCTGTATTACAGTAGCTGCTTCGCTACTCTCTGCAATTCTGCGGCACGCTTTCGATCCAAATTACAATTTGTCATGCTTCAGCTTCACTCTATTGGTCTGGTGCCATGAGCACTGCCACAGGTTAACACACAGGGGGGGCTTCAATGACATGGTTAAGGGGGGGGGGCAAGTTTTAATTTTTAGAAAATGATTTCTTTTTGTAATTTTGTTTTTAACGGTATAACATTTTATAGAAATACAGCTTGGGGGGGGCCCCTAGGCCCCCCTGAGTTAACAGGGTACAGTCTACAGAATGTTGTAAAGATCAGGATTTAAGACAGTATCTTTTTTTGTCCATCTTAAATCGGGGTACAGACTAGTGGACTTGTCTGCTGATTGTCCACTGTATCGTTTCAAAACACATGCGACTTGCTATAAAAAGTCAAAGCATGAATTGGTGAATCTTATCGGATTCTATATGAAACAGATTGAAATTAATACTTGAGGCAGCATCGAAAACAATCTTGGATTGAAAAAGTGGTCTTCGTCTCCTTGAGGCAAAACTTATGTAGTAACAACATACCAGGTCCAATCAGGAAGGAAAAAAATTGAATATACGGCAGTTAGTGTTTTAAATGTGGGAGTAGATAAATAAATATTACATATTATTATTTATTATACATTATACATGAGAACAATAAATGAGGACTAAATTAGAAAATAAATTTCTTTGATTTTCATTAATGCACTGACCTTAAAACAAAGAATGGAGAAAATTACACAATAATGAGCTTCAAAATCTGTTTCAGCCACTCATGACGCAATATAATAAAGAAACGCATAAAGGGATTGATATTGACTTTATATTGAAGTTGATATACATTGCAGAAACAATTTATGATGATGTAAGCAGTAGCGTATCCAGAATTTTTTTCGGGAGGGGTTATAATTTATTTTTGTGGAATTTTATCTTAAAATGATTTATTAATGATAACGTTGTTATAATTTAACAATTTTCGGGGGGGGGGGGGTTACAACCCCCAAACCCCCCCCCTGGATACGCCACTGGATGTAAGTGGTAAATGGTAATTAAAGAAGACCCAATAAGAAAAAGACTGTGAACTCATAAAAGTTGTATTATTAAATAAATAACAGTTTATTGAAATTGACAAAATATAAATAAGTTTACAAATAAAATCAAAACCGTCCACTCCTTGATCGTCCTGTGTACATGGTATCTTCTCTAGTATTTCTTCCTTGACGTCTTCTCCTTTCTTTTTTTTCTAAGATCCATTCTCTACTTTTTTTTACTAATTTTGAAGCACGCCCTTTTGTCATTTTTTCTCTGCAAATCATTAATAAATCAATCAAATATTACATCACTATTAGATATTTGTACCATTATTACCTTTTTGATGTATAATTAATTTGTGAATTGTCTGTTCCAAGTGCTGGAGGCATGGGCATAGCACCACCAGTCATCAAAACAAGAAAGTATTTTTTAGCTTTAGTACTATCAGGAAAATCAACCAACAATCCTCCAAAAAATCCAGCTTTTCTCGCTTGTGATACAACCAAATCTGTTTGATGTACATTTTCTGGATAAAATTGAAATACTGCTCTTGCATTGCGGTTCTAAAATCAAACCGATCAATAGTTAAATATGTGTCTGTATTCTATTTATTTGTTTAAAAATTATATTATGAATGTAATACTTACCAAGCAAGCTAATAATGTTGAAAACAAAGTGTATAACCTTTTTGCAGGTTTATGTGATGATTTATCTGCATTACATAACCATTGTAATGTGCTTACACTGTAGGCGCCATCAAATGTACCAGGTTGAAATGGAACACCATCCCCAATGTCTGCCAACAATAAATCACCTTCGACTTCTCTTTCTTTTGCTATTTCTAATAAAACAAAAAAATAATAATAATTTGCATTATAAATGGTAATTAAGTATATGGGAGTCTCCTTACCCCAATACATTTCCATCTCTGTATTTCAATAGGGTAAAATATTTACATTTTATATCTAACATGACCAACACTGGCAAGAGGTTATAGGAAAATATTAAAATTAAAAAACACATTTTTAATTTTAAAATTTTAAAATATACACCACTGTATTGTACAATTTTTTTTTATTTATTAATAAAGACTAATATATAAATGTTAGCACTGTATAGTGTATAGGGTTACAAATGTTCATCTCATTAAATAAATAAAAAAATAAGCAAACTTGACAGTATATCACACGTACAATTATTACTTTTAAATTTGATGTGAATGTACAATTGAATCTAATATTGTTAGATGGACAATGTTCAGTGTTGGAACATTCACTAAAAAAATGAATTCGTTCATGTTCAGTGTTTAAAAAAGGAACTCATACACGTTTAAATTTATATTTTGTTCAAACGAACACGTTCACGTTCTTTGAAAATAAGAATGCCTTTCCAAAAACTGAAAATGTTGATAATATAAAATGTTAATTTGTTATGAAATATACCTTAAGATTTATTTTAAATAATTTTGCAAAGAATGATAGAATAAATAAAATAAAAATAAATAACCCAGTGAATAAATTTCATGTCAAGTATTAATGACACTCATATTGAATGTAAACTGTCTCTTTAATAATTATAATTTATAGAATAACATAACCAAATTATTCAACTTACTTAACATGGAGCCTGAAATGTCCATGCCAAACCAAATATGACCTGAATCTTCAGCAATACTGCCACTTAGACCAGAACCACATCCCAAATCTAATAGCAAACAGGTTTCGTCTTCTGGCAACATCAACAATTCCATACATCTTTCAGCCATTTCTAATTGAATGTTAATCATCCGGGAACTAAAAGTAGTTACAGGAATGTTAGAATTGAGTACAAAAAATTATAGTAATGGAGTAACGACTAGGTAGGTGAAGGTTGCTTACTTTTGGGTATACTTCCTTGCTTCATCGTCATTATAAAACTGTTGAACAACAAAAACAACCATTAATGAACATATTCTTTAATTACAAAACCGTCAAACCGTCCTAGGTGTAACAGCTAACAGGCATAAAATATTAGTAATATTACACATAATTAAAAAAGTTAAATTGTAAATAACGCAAATGTTTTGATATGCAATGAGCTCGGGGATATAATGTATAAAAAAGATCGATCATATCCATTTTATGTAAATACAGAACTTACGATTTCAGGAGGAGCTAAATGTTCGGGACGAGACATGTTGTTATTGGTACTTTTAATGAACAAGAAGTAAGAACAACCGCAAGGCGCGATTCAAAAGTCGTGTTAATTTTCTATCATCAAAATATGTCGTTATCTACCAAGATAACCTTATCACGGGTTCGGTGTTGTTACCATAAATCTGGTTACTTAATCTATTCCGTGGTTGTAGCGCATAAAAAAATCGGAAACGACAGAAACTCGGGCTTTTGAGGGCTGTGAGTGGGTACCAAAGGTGGAGTCAGGATCGTTAGAATTATAAAAGTATCACCTGTAGGTCGGTCAAATTGTCAAAACCTAATAGTCAGAGAAGGTGATTTTGGAGGTGGAATTGGGTCTTGTGATAAGACTTGGCTCATCAAAGGCGGGAATGTTTGAAAGTCGAGTTCGAGTGTCTGGAAATCTCACACGGCCCAGGAAATCCGGCAATTGAATGATACGGTCCTCCGTCGTATGTCCAGTGCATTTTTGTAGGTACAATTATATAAACTAGAAATTCGTGTTTGAGTGTCTAGTAAGGCAGTCACTCATCACTCACTATCACAGGTCAAAGAGTCCAAGACGAAACCAGAAAGCACCACATGCACAACGCCTTACGACAAATTTTCAATGTTTTTTTTTGAAACCTAAGTAAATCAACATTTTAAAAATTATGGTTCAAAATAATTCCGACACCACCCATGGTGGTTTTACATAACAAGTCAAGCAGGGGCGGCTCCAGTGACATGGTTATAGGGGAAGAAGTCATAATTTTCAGAAAATGTCGATAATTTTTTGTAATTTTGTTTTTAACAGTATAAAATTGTTTAGAAGTACTGGTGGATCCGCCCCTGAAGTTGAGGGTTGTTTCCGATTTTAATTTTCCGAAGATAGTGAGTGACCACGACGGGTGTATTATATCTATATCAGACTATATGCGAAAATACCAAAAATTTTAATTAGCTATAACTTTAAAATAAGTCCGACCACCAAATTCAGACTTCCCCTGCATCGTTTTCAGCATGCTCAACTACATAGGTATTAGAAGGTACGTTAAAACAAAAAAATGCTGTACAGTAAAACAGAAAATAGTTCGCCGAACGTGCGGTAAAATATATAGTGTTGCCACCGAAAATCGTGAACTTTGTAAGGCTATAACTTTAAAACTGATGATATCCGGCAATTAATTTTTGCAATATCGTTTTCAATTGGTTGTAATTCATGGGTTTTGGAAAAAAAAATTTGAAAAATTTGTGCGGGCACTGATCTATATTAATTGTTCTGTATTATAAATAGGGATGGCAACGATACATCGATGTTTTGGAAACATCGATGTTTTAAACTATAATAATCGATGTTTGACATCGATGGTTAAGTTTCGATGTTTTGCATCGAGGTTTATGTTTACCGATGTTTTAATTTCGATGTTTGCCTTGTCTTCGATATTCTTCGACATTTCATAAAATAAATATTTTTAAAATTGTTCAGTTCCTAATATTATAATATATAATAATTAATTTTATCCTATAAAAAGTATGTTTTTTTTTTTTTTTTTAAATATCGATGTTTTTCCAAATACATCGAGTTCTTGACTTCGATGTTTTTTTAAATTGTCGATATTGTCACCATCGATGTATAGTAAAATATACATCGATACATCGAAACATCGATGTTCAAAAAAAAATTGCCATCCCTAATTATAAACTATGTTTACGACACACCATGACAAAACGACGAGCGGTGAACACTGACGATCGACCGTCAGATGGCGGTGCCGCGTCTGCGAGCCCGTCGCATCAGCACTCTCGACTGCTCATCGAAGTATCGAACGGCGTATTCCATTGGTCCAGTCGAGCGGTCCGACAGTACGGCCGACCAACGGCGACAGGCGTTTTATCCACTGTCGCGACTGTGGCACTGTGCCATACTGCCATAGTGGAACGAAGGACGGGACCAAATAAAAGAGATTACGGGACGTATCTATAAATTATAAAATGCCGAATGGGACGTATCTATAAAATACGGAATGGGACGCGTCTTATGTGAGCCCTATGCCCCTATATTAGAAAAGAAAACCATTTTCGAAATAAACCTTCACAACAGTATGGAATTAAACCGTTAAAAGACCGAAATATACGAGTCACGAGTGTGATCGTAGCTGCATCGGTCACCGATATTCGAGACGACAATCACAATTCAAGTTGCGAATTCATGAGGATGATAAAATCATAGGAAAGAGATACAATTTATGACACGTTTTGTGCTTAAGTGCAAGCTTGGAGTGGCACCACAAGTCACAAACTCACAACGGCAATGCTGCGCAGGCAGTGGTCTAAGACTCTAAAGTAGCGACTTGGAAAGTCGGAAGTGCGAGCGGCGAGTGAGTGTGCCGCGGCGCGCCAGCGGTGGTAGTGTGGACGTGTGGTAAACTTGTAGTCTGGTACAGTGGTACGAAAGTACAAAACTACAAAACTACGAGCGTTCGACGCAACCGCCGCCGCCGCCCGTTCGTCACTTAGTCCAGACGACCACACTCCACCGCCGACCACCCGATGGGCGATGACTATAATGTGCTGTGCGTGCGTGCGTCTCGTGTGTGTTACTGTGTTAGCACGTCTCGGCAGTGAGCGATAACATAACGCGTCGTATATTATTTGTTATTATTTATTTATTATTATTATTACTATTATTATATAAAACTATCGGAAACTGAAAAAAAACGTATCGCTCCGCACCCGCCGTGTCGCGACCCGCGGTCATTCGATTTAGTATAAATACGTAAAATATCGTGTAAACGTTATATTCTTCTCTTCTATTTCCACGGTTTTTCATCATCATCTTCGTCGTCATCGTCATCACTGTTAATCAACGTGTATTACAAAAATACACGATAAACAACGATATTGGGTTGTGTAAATCAATAAATGTATATATAATAAATAGTATATTGTTTTTTTAAAATATTATGCTGAATCGTCGCGTGTCGCATTTTCGTAACTACTGGTGCAGTGCTACTACGGTTACGGTTGTCCGTGTCGACGGTGACCGCCGCCGTTCGTCCGTGTGGTGGTGATCGGTCCGCGGTCGTCGGCACTGCAGCAGGCTTCTTGTGCGTGTCTTGTCGTTACTTCGTTACCGATACAAAGACGATAACAGTCTCCACCGAGTGGACCGACTAACGATATCGTGTCGTACGTGCGCGCAGTAGGAGTGTAGGACACGCCGTCGTCGTTACGTGATGTCGCGTTACCGCCGGGCGACGTGCGATACCGCCTAAAAAGGGCATATGCCCACCGTCGTCGTAACGGCGCGCTTCACGTCGGTCAGCAGCCGTGCTTAGTGGAGGCCTCCAGCCGCAGCGGCCACGACCACGGACGTTCGCGAGTCCCCGATCAGCACACTCGGTGACCGTCACTTCTGTTATGTAAGTGTACACTGGCGACTGGCACGCCGTATTGTTGTTGTTGACGAGCTTTGACCCCTCCCGTCCGTCTCGACACGGGTGTTCTTCGGACATTCGCGCGCGTATCGGATTATTATTGGGTCACGGAAAGTCTCGTCACCGCGCAGGCCGGACACTGTCCGTTGGCCACTGTCTCGTCCGCGAGTTAAGTTTTGTCATCTACCTATTTATCAAGTTTTTTGTTTGTCCAGAGTCTAGCCAAACGTTAACCGCATACCCAGGCACCCTCCCTGACCGTATATCGGATAGACTACCATTGTGACACGATGCGTTTGCATGGATGGTGTTCTTGAGAAACCGGCAAAGTGTTGCCGGTTACCAATCGAGATATGGACGGCAGCAATGGAGCCAAGCAAGCCGACAGTTGGCATAAGCATGAGCCATTCATGATGGTCGAAAAGCAGAAAAATAAAAGTGAGTGTAACGCAATTGAAATCGAGTAACGTCCTTTGCCGATCATTATTGGGATTTCATTTGAAACTAACAGACATTGATTTAACACTCATTACAGTTAGGTACCGTTTAGATATTGCCCTGACGGCCTTTGTCATGTCACTGTGTCTTTAGCTGAAAATTGTTCTGATTAGTGTTTTGAAACAGTTTTTTTTTTTACCAGATGTTGAAATCGGCCTTGAGTGATTGCGGCTACATTTTAATACAATGAATTCTCCACACAACACCATATGTTTAGATAACTGTTTTGATAGTCAAATTGGATTTCTATTGTTTGAGACAAATGCCGCTTATCTTTCATAATTAAATTTGTGTATAGTCACACATTCGCATGTACCCATTTTAAGATCTATATGTGAGAAATTAGTAGGCAATTATCCAACTACTAATAACACTATAGATTACATTTTAAACATTGGCATTAACAATATTGTATGATGTAATCATTTATTTTCTGTTATTTCTTTAAAATGCTTGTCATACTTACCCAATGTTTTCTCCGTTTAATGTCTGTAATCGCTTTCCTTTAAGGAATAGCAAAGGTACCTAAGTATGATGAAAAAATACTTTAAATACTTGTTCACCTAATATTGAATCGATTAATATTTATGTATAAAAAACAAACTAGACCAGTTTATCAACATTCACTGTCATAAAAAAAAATATCAATGTGATGCCTGTGTGTGAGGAACTAAATGGAATTCGATAATTGCCCTTGTATCTACATAATTGCTTAGAACGATTGGAAATACTCCCAGAAAACTATGTCAGTGCTCAAATAAGCAAAGTTTATAGGGTAAATCATTAATTAATGAATGTTGAGATATTACTATTTAATGATCTGAAAAATGCAAAATAATGCATTAGACAATGTTATATTTAGTAATAACAATTTTAATAGTTTCTGTAACTGTGTTAGGCGTTTATCCCTTTTGAGGAGTTCTTAGTGACTGATTTTCTATTAGCATCGAATTTACAATTTATATTAAGTTTTTTGACGTCATTGATTGTTTGAACATTCATTGATACAATGAGTAATAGTTTATTACTTTCATACTTTTTATAATTGCATTATGGAAATAGAAAATGTTGCTTTATTAGGCATCATAAAATCTGAATCAAACACGTGGACTGGTTGTTATTTATTACCGAGTTATTACGGTTGTTTTACTGTCTTTATAAACGTGTAGGACGAATAGTTTAGTGCAGACCAGTTTAATTTATTTTATTTCACACAGTGAAGTGTACATTATGTTCTTGCTTATCAAAAATCTAGGTATAACTGTCAGTAGAATCAAAATTAATAAATAATGAATGAAAATAGTTACATAAATATTATAATAAAAGTAGTTACTTATTTGGTTGTTGCATTGGTAATTTATATCTTTAGGTATTTTCCAAATTGGAATTGGCTTGGTTTGATTCTATTTGTCCTATTCAGTGTTGCATGGTATTTGGACATTTAGTAACTAAGGTTGACTTTATTTCTTTTATTATTTAAGATCGTTGTTTGATTCTTAAACAACTGTGTACATCCACGCATTGTACATGATTCGCTTTAAACTATTTGAGTATTTACATTTGTATGTGATCTGTGTTACAAATTAATTTAAATAACCCTTTAGTACCGATATTCTATAAGCGATAAATTGGTACAAAATATTTTTGATACTACACTCAATATTGAAGATAATTATTGTTCCATCTATTTTCTTTGGTTAAAATATATAATTTGAATATTAAACAGATCAAAATTTTGCAATATTGATCAACGTCAGTTAATTATTTGAAATGGTTTCTCTTACTTGCATGTTTTAATCAATTCACTGGCAGGCATATGGTTGGGGATTAGATGACATATACTAAAAATAGATTTGCTGTACTGTCGAAACTATTTATAGAGTTTTGTTAATCAGTCTACACGTTTTAAATTCCAAATTCTACTTGGAGAAGTTTGTACTATGTATACGTACATTTTTAATTAAGAAAACTTGCTTAATTTTTAACAATCTGCAATGTGACTGATAACTTTGAACTTGAACCAATGATCATTCCAACATATAAGATTTGAAATTATTTTGAGCGCGAGTGCAATCATATCATAGTTTATTTTAATATTTTATTGTACGACTGATACCTACTGCATGTAACAAACAATTAAAAATAAATCAATCATTTAACAGCCAGGTTAATCTTAGTGTTGTGGCCTTGCTCCGTGCATTATTTTTCCTTCTATTATTTAAAGAACTGTTTGATGATCAGCATTAAGGAAACTAGTTATAGAACAAAATCAAATAATCGTTAGTGAATGGTATCTAGTATTATATAATAGTATAAAAGTATTACTCAAGGGTAACTATAAATCTGTGTGTAAAATGTGTACCTTTACACACAGCGTTTAAATTTTTTAGAAAATGTTTATAAGAATATGGTATTTTTTTTAGATTTTAGAATTTCTTGAGTACTACCTTTATGTCTGCAACATTCTAATATTTTATTATAATTTTATCAAGATCATGGGCAAGGATCCCAAGACAGTAACTTTGGTTTTGGCGGTGGTCCCTTGTATGGAAGGCTTGTCGCTGAAGACCAATTACCAATGGTCGGTGGTGTCGCTCCGGTGCATGCTGATATCCATGCGATGCAAGCAAGAATACCACCCCATTTTCGAGATCCGTCAACCGCTCCATTGAGAAAGCTTTCGGTAGACCTGATCAAGACATACAAGTTTATTAATGAGGTATTATACGAATAATCATTTCATCTGTTATTATTGTTTGTAGATTTGCAACTTGCTATCTATAAATTACAAAATTATCTGGTCAATGTTTACTAAAGTAGTAATGTTTATATTTAATTCTTATTACCAATTTTTCATTTTATTGAACTATGCAAAATAGAAATTATTTCTCAGATAATGTTTATTCTTTTTCAATTAGAACAATATTTTTTCCATTCCAATACTATTTATCAAGTGCGTATTTATGTGGCTTATATTATGTGTTAAATTTAAAAATGTCAAAGGTCAGTTATTTAATCATAGTAATCAGGTTTTAAATATTAAGATAACACTTACTATAAATAATAATTGCTTTGTCCTAGGTTCCATTATCAAAATCATTTTAATAACTAATGCTTAATGTGTTTTTAATTTATATTATAGTGGAATACAATAAAACATACATGTTTAAAAAAATATTTGATTTTGTATGTTTTTGCCTTACTATTTATAAATTTTGTTAATTCAATTTATTATTTTGTTTTAAATTTATTTAGGTCTACTATGCGAAGAAAAAAAAAAGAGCTGGTGGTGGAGCGGTTGGGTTGAGTAGTCAACCTCAAAATAATGGGGCCCCCGTTGAAGGCCCTGTAGCCAATAAAAAAGAAAGAAGAGTGTATAATGATGGTCACGACGATGATAACCATGATTATATAATTAGAAGCGGTGAAAAGTTTTTGGATCGCTATGAAATCATATCCTTGCTGGGCAAAGGGTCATTTGGACAAGTGAGAAGCGTTATTTGATTAAGTATTTATTGACAGTAAAAGAAAAAAAAAGATTTATTTTATTTTGTTTATTAGGTTGTTAAGGCTCGTGACGAGGAAGAAGATTGTTATGTAGCAATTAAAATAATAAAGAATAAAAAACCATTCCTAAATCAAGCTCAAATTGAAGTAAGACTATTAGAAATGATGAATAGAGCTGATGTTGACAACAAATACTATATTGGTATGTAAAAATATTATAATTTGTGGGTCGGTAAATAAATGGATAATAATAATTATTTACAGTTAAACTCAAGCGTCATTTTATGTGGCGTAATCATCTGTGCCTGGTGTTTGAGTTATTATCTTATAACTTGTATGATTTGATTAGGAACACTAATTTTAAAGGTGTTTCTTTAAATCTTACACGTAAATTTGCTGCTCAACTGTGCACGGCTCTGTTGTTCCTGTCCACACCGGACCTGTCCATCATACATTGTGATCTGAAACCAGAAAACATATTGTTGTGCAATCCTAAAAGATCGGCTATTAAAATAGTTGACTTCGGCTCATCTTGCCAACTCGGCCAAAGAGTTAGTTACAAAAATTGCTTTTTTACTTTATAATTTTAATGTTCAATTTGTTTGTTACAGATATATCAATATATTCAATCTCGTTTTTACCGTTCACCAGAAGTTTTACTTGGTATACCTTATGATTTGGCTATAGACATGTGGAGTTTAGGATGTATATTAGTAGAAATGCATACCGGAGAACCGTTGTTTAGTGGAACAAATGAAGTATGTTTTATTGCAAATCCAAATTGTATTGATGATAAAGTGTTATTTTATTGAATTTTATTTTTCAGGTTGATCAGATGAATAAAATCATTGAAGTTCTTGGCATGCCACCCAAACATATACTTGACCAGGCTCAAAAAGCTCACAAATATTTTGATAAATTGCCTGGTGTCGATTCGTACACCTTAAAAAAACCTAAAGATGCTAAAAAGTACAGGAATCCAGGTGGTCGACGATTACATGATATATTGGGTGTCGAAACAGGGGGTCCATATGCTAGGCGGTTAGGTGAACCCGGGCATTCAGTGTCTGACTACCTTAAATTTAAAGTAAATATTTCTAATACTTAATTTGATGATAAAATTGTTTTTTAACATATATTAAATTATTATTTATTCAATTGTCTAGGATCTTATAGTACGAATGCTGGATTATGATCCAAAAACTCGAATTACACCATATTATGCTTTGCAACATAACTTCTTCAAGCGGACTTCTGAAGAGGGTACTAATACAGCTAGTGGTATCGCTCAAGCTGGACTACACAGCTTAGGTGCTAGTCCACCATTTAATAGTTTACCTAGTAATAATCCAGGGGACACAAATGTGCAATCATCTGGTAAGAATACCATTAATTAATATTTAATTTATGTTAAGGATATGTTTATGTTATGTTTTTTATATTTTAATAAGTCTAAAAAGAGAAAACAAAAAAAAAAAAATTATAGACATCAATAACTGATAATGTTTTTTCAAGTCTAATATTTTATAAATATTTATGTATGTATGTATTATTTATTTTTTTTTGCTTACCTTGAAGGAAACACTTTCCCTACACATTTTTACGCTCGATGACTATTGCTAAACTTTGGGTCAACGTATTAGATATCAAAAAAAAAAGTGTAAGTCAAATCTTAATAATGTGGCGTGTGTTTGTGTAAATAATATTATGTAATTTTTAGTGATAACATTAAATACTAAACTATATATTATAAATGTAAATAGTAAATACATTCACCCACATACCATTAAATTTGAATAATTAAGTATATGAATTGTAATTTTATAGTAAAATCATCTTGCTTTTTTCAACACTTACACATTATCATCTAAGTACATATTTATTTTTAGTAGTAGGCTTTACCATTTTTAATTTCTCGTGGTAGATAGTAACACGTTATCAAAGTAGTCAAAATGTGTACACTATTTTCATAATGTACAAAGTGTGTAATGATATTAAGCTTATAGTTATTTTAGAGAAAAAAAATGTTATATTGTGTACTAATAATACATAGGTATATGAGTTATATTATGAACCGAGTATGTAATTTTTTAGACTTGTTTTAGTTATTCATTTGAAATAACACAGTATTTATTTTACTTTAAAAAGACTTAAGTGAAAAATTGCATTTAAGTATATATTACAGTACCAAATTATTGTATTAACCTTTTGACGAGCAATGACGTTTATGCACGTTTTTAAAACATTGGCATGGGGAGCATTAACGTTTATACAAATTTTTATCACCAACATTTCTTTATTTTATAGTGTTGTATCTTATAAACCATACACTATTGCTAAAATATGGTGATAAAAATGAGATATAAATAATATGTCATTGCTCTGATAATTATTTTGAAGAATTTTAAATTCTTAGAGTATATTTCCATTGTGTTTAGGCGGCTAAATGGAAAAAAAAATTAAAAATATGAACTTTTACAAATTCAAAGTTATAAAAATTTTTGACCACTTTTTGCATGACATGGACAAATTAATTACTTATGGGTTTTTACTAAACTTTGGCCTTGTTTAAAGAACAATATATTTAGGGTATTTAAAATGGTTGATAAGAAACCTTACATTGTATTTTTGTTTAAAATGGATTACTTATTTTCATAATTAATATAAAACTACATGATAATATTTTAGTTAAGGTTTCATATATTTAAGGTGTGTATTTAATTCAATTGTTGCTGTTGTTATAATTTACTTAACGTTAACTTAAAGAAAAATGCAATAAACTGATTTAAGTTACCAATTGAGAATTTAAAATTTTATTACGTCAACTATTTCTTTAATTTGGTATTATTGATTTAGTAATGAATTTTTTGTTCTACATGCATACAAAATGTGCTATGTTTATAAAAATGTTAGTTTATTATTTTGACTATTGAGGATTTTATACATGTAAATAATTACCTTAAAAATGTTATGAAATGACAAAGTATGATACTTCTAATTTGGTTTTAATTATTTTCTTCAAACACTTACTTAATAAAAATGTAAATAATTTGTTCATATCTTTGAAAATTCAACATGTATGACAATAATCATACCTTCAATGTGTTCAGTAAAATTTAATTAAAACTTTCTTATTTTGTTCTTTACTTTGAAATCAAAACCAAAATTACTCCTAGCTTGTTTATTTATTATTTATAATTTTTAAGTTTAATTCTCCCATTGTATTTTCACTGATTTATCATTGTTTCATTGCTTGTTTGGTGTTAATGCATTTTTATGAAGTTTTTATTGCCTTTAAGTTATTTTGTTTAGTAGTTATATTAATGATAATAATTAAATTCTGAATCTAATTGGTTTATTTTCTTATAGCAATAAGATTACGGTCGGACCAGTGCCGAGGTAGAACTACAATGGATTGTGACCCTCCGCCGATCGCATCTATGTACCACGGTTACCAAACGGCTCCAATGGCTAGACACCATCTGCCTCACCATGCTACAGTTTACCCGATGAACCCAGCATCCGCTGTTGGTACTTTGGTTCACTGTCGACCCACCTCTTTGCCGTTCCTACATCCACAACATCACCCGTATCAACCAATACAATCACAACCTCCACGTTCATTGCATTCGTTGCATAATCACCCACCACCACCACCAGTACAACAACCTGTTGCACGTGTACCAACTTCCCATTCCAATCGAACGAAACAAGAACAAGATGACATGATTGGGGTATGTATAGGTCAAAGTCCTGTAGCAATAAACATAACATGATCAAATCGTATAAAATGTTAAAGAGATGATTTATACATGTTTTCATTACATACATGTAAAAATTGAATAACTGTGATTAATCTAAAGGGGAAAGAGTAATTTTTAAATTCAAATTTGTACCGAGTAGTGCCAGAAATTCAATTTTATTGTTTCCATGGATATTGTTTTTGTCTTGTTTTTTTTTTGTTTTTTTTTTTTTTTTGAACAAATTCCTCATAGAATTCAACTATAACTTTAATTTAACAGATTTAATAGACTAAATTAAAACGAAATAAATTGACAAATAATTTTTATCTGATGCAATAGTGAATAATTAGTTAATAACATATTTTTATAAACTTACCAATTGCCATTTTTATCTTCATGTATACGCGGATAACTGTTAAAGCTACCTCAAATAATTTTGTATTACCATGGATTAAATAACATTAGTGTTATTTAATCTATGGAAATACTAATACAGACGAATCAATTTGGAAATTGTGTTTTAATATTTACTCACATTTTAACATGACGATGACTTAGTATCAGGATTGCATGTACAGTATTTGTTGAATAAATGATCTTAATATAAACTATTTCATTTATATTTTTTTTTTTTTCAATAAATTTTAAACATCGATAGTCATATTATCAAATTTCATGTTTATTATTTTGTTATATTCCTTTAATATTGGACAAAATTCAATTAAATTTATAAATTATCAAACGGTATATTATGCAATGCACAATACATAAAACAACTATGATTTACAGACAAAAAATACATCCTAAGTGGAAATCCAATAAGTATTCATAAATTGTAAATGCAGAGAAACCATTTTTTTTTTTTTTTGTATTAAACAGTGTACTAAAGTTTTGGTGCTTTTGCTGTGCAATTTATCTGTGGCATTTATTTATTTTTTCCTTTTCGAAACATTGCCATTTCAAATTAAGTTTTGAGTAAACGGTATACCTACACACACATGATGACATAACGAGAGAGTTCGTCTGTGCAGTAAAAGTCCTAACAACGTACATAATCTGTATTGTGTTTGAATGCGTGATTAACAATCTGATGCGAGTAAAATTGAACTTTTATTATTGTCAGGGACATTCGAAAACACGACTGATCGTATGTATATAACTTTTTTTTTATCATTAAAACTAAAATTATTATTCGCTTAAAAAAAATCGATGACTTGCAAAAGATAAAAATGGCCTACGTTTATAATGATTTTGCGTACCGTCTATACATATTAAAACACGATTTCATTATTATCGTGTCTTCCTGGAACGTTTAGCATATTTTTTATTCTTATATATTTTGTTAAAATAATATACATATGTACCTATGTATATATATATATATGTATACATGGTAGTCTTATAGTGTTACCCTAAGGATTTTTTTACGCGTTTCCACTGCCATAGGTGTATATATTATATGTGTGTGTGTCTATATTATATTTAAATAATAAAATATGATATAGTCTAAAAATATAAATGGACATAAAATAAGAAGTCGAGTCATATAGTGCATTATGCCCAAGTCGTCGGATGACGATGCTGCCGAATACGCACCTCTCTCTCTCTCCCTCCCTCTTTCCCTCTCACTCACTCTCTCTCTCACACACACACACACACACACACTCACATACACACAACTTGTACTCAACTATTGTTGTGTTAGTGACATACATTAGCCGATTTCGATGACATGACCACCGAGGTAGTTTTTTCGTTTTTGTATCGCGGGCGTGTGTAAACAATTTTAACCAACCAAAAAAAAAAAAAAAAACGAAAGAAATAATATAATATGTGATAGAACAGGGTGGAATATCCTTAAAACATTATTTTGTTCATTTTATACGGTGATCGTTTAATATATATATTAAATTAATTATAAGATTAAGTATATATATATATATATAATTTGATTTATTATATGATATTATATAATTTTTTTTTTTTTTTTATTAAAGACTGTTGTGTATATAGACTTAGATATTGTACGTGAGATGTTCATATTTAAATAATAATTATAATATTATATATATGAAATAGGAAAAAGTTTTTATTTATTTTTACATTTTGTTTTGTTTTTTATTTCTCTTGACGCGCCGCCTTTTTTCCGACAAACTCGAATACCGTGTGTGAGTTGCAGTGGTCTGTACTCGCACACACACATACACTTACAATTACACACAAACTCGTAGGTTAATTCGTGTTGGGGGGGAGTGGTATGCCGACGTCAGTGGGCATACCATATCACTTGTATTTATATATATATATATATATACTTAGCTAAATTGTTAGTAAATAGTAATATTAGTAACTACTTTTATATATATATTATGATGTACGAGATTTAGTTTTACCACTCGATCCGTGTCTCCCCACAGAATTTCACGACGATAATATATATATATATATATATATATATTTATGTATGTATGTATTATGTATGTGTTTTTTGTTTTGTTTTTTTTTTAGATAATTATAATTGTTTAACGTCTGTCTGTCTCGTCATATATTATAATTATAATTATTATTATTATTATTATTATTATTATCATCATTATTATTATTATTATATTATTAAGTAAACTGAGATATCTATTGTAATATGTAACTGTGAAAACCAAACATATTCACTTTTCAGATGATTTTCTTTTTTTTTATCATTATTATTTATTATTATACATGTAAACGAATAAAATGTATACGGCGTTTGAAAAAAAGAAAAGAAAAACAAACAAAAAGAAAAATCGTGAAAATAATTTTCAACGTGTACTTACTGTAACTCGCACAGCACTTACGTCTTACGTCCGTTGCAGGTGGTGTACGTTCCTATTCCCGGAGAATCTTATAATTTGTTCTGAAACGTCCGAATTGGTTTCTGGTTTGATACGAATGGTAAATCTGAATTGCTGGTTCCTGATTTGTTAAAAAAAGAAAGGTATATCCGAATTCGTTTCTAGATTTTAAAAGCTGCAATTTAAATTTTCCTTCCAAATGTATCTAGATGACTAGACGACCAGCGGTGACCAACTATGGCCCGCGATCATATTTTCCGCCAAAGTATTAAATCAAAATTTCAAAAAAAAATATCAAATTTCAAAAACCGAAAGAAAATTGTATTCAAATTTATTTAAATTGCAACATTTGTAATATTTAATATACATTAATATTTCCCATTTACTATCGTAAATTACGTTGTTAATCAGACATGACCAAGTGTCGCAGCCTGATCGTTGAACATCGTCTAAAATCTAAATCTAAATGACATTATCGTATTTTTATCGTTTTGCAGTTTTAAAATAATACAGCACAAAACGACACTGAAACTATACATAAAGACAAATTTAAAAATCTAGTAAAACATCTAGAATGCTTATAAAAATGCAATTCATAAACAAACATTTTTTTCTCACTTATAACATTCGATACATCATAAATAATTAAATTTATCACTGTAATATACTGAAGATTTACCTACAGTGAAATATAATACCTTAACTATTAACTTAAAAGAAAAAGTTTTGTCATGCCCCTCGGTAAAAATGGTTGGTCAACACTGATCTAGGCTATAATAATGGACAGTCTATACATTTATTTTGTATGGTAAAAAAATGTTCATATATTTTAATTAAAATTTTTTTAAATTATTTATTTTCAGACCATTAATTTTTGGAAATTATTATTGGATAACCTGAACTATAACGTTGCATTTCACCTTTTTCTTTTATAAAAACCTAATATGCAACTAGCTATTTGAAATTCGCAGTTTTTTTGAAAAATCATAGTATTACTTTTGATGTGTTCAGAAAAATTATCTGGAAATTAATTCAGATTTCAGATGTGTGCCGCATAAAATATTAGGGACAATTAATTACTGAGAAAGATATTTTTAATCATTCAGATGTTTATTGTTTGGGCATGGGAACCATTTTGGATATAGCTACTTTTCCAATAAGATCCTTATATTCCTCATGATATCACCATAATAAAAAACAACCGAACAAGTTAAGTCATCTGATTTTATTTACCTATAATATATATTATACATGTAAACATAATTGCCTATTTTTAGTGTAAACTAAAAAAAAAATCGGTTAAAAATATAAAATGGAATGTACTTACCTGCAGCCTATTATATAGATATTAATATAAATTAATGAATAAATAACTAGGTACAGTAAAATTTATAAATAAGTGCAGTTAAAGGGTGACAAAATTAAAATTATTACTATACTATAATTGTGTCGATGGTATTTATTACTATACGTACTATAATCTTCCTACTGCGTGTGAAAAAATAATATGACCACGTCCCGGACACAACTCTTTGTAATTCTTTTTATTCACTCAACTCTGGGATTTATCCGGTTATATATTTGCCTTACCTTTAATTTGTCACTTATTTTACTTAAAGTCCTTTCTTTTCCTTCAGATAATACGTAGGCATATGTCACTTAAAAACACTATTATTTTCGTAAAATTTCTTTTGTTTTCTTTTTCTCGAACAACATAAAGTTGCGTCAAATTTGTTTTACAGAACAATAATATTTGTACCTATACTGTTATAATATTTTTTTTAATTTTATAATATTACCTATGTGGAAAATGGTCAGTTTTAAAACAAAATAATTGTTCCCAGATATCTTATTAATATCGTCTTTAAGTTTATATTGTACATTTCAAAAGTTGAAGATTTTGATGAATCAATCAAAATATCTTGCATCCTTAGAAATAATGATGACCGGAATGTCAACGGGTAACTATTTCTGTTTCTAGTGGGCATATATATAATATTGGGTACAAGTATTTTCGCCTAAAATAAATAAGAAACCTTTATATAATTATTATACTTCATATTAATGTTGGAAACACAAACTAACTCAACTACTTACAACCATTTTATTAGGTACCTATAATATAGGTAATTCTGAAATGGGTATACCCTAGGGCCTAGGTAATAGGGTAATAGGATATCTGGATAAATCTACATGGATATGTACACATCTATTACTGTAAACATAATTTTTGTTATTCGTTTGTGCCGGTGGAACCCGATTGAGCTGCACAGTCAAACGAATGCAAGTTGCCAATTTTTCTGTCCATCTACAAACAACAGATACGCGTCTTTTGAAATAGGTGTATTCATGTACCTACTATATTATACTTAAAGCCAGGGTGAATGTTCTTCAGTTGTTGTGCTTTGTAAGTCGGTTATTTGAGGTATTTAGGTATTTAATCGCAAAGCTTGGCGATTATTTTCACTTGTGGTTTTCCATCGGTTGTTGCTAAAATTGCCATGAATCGAAAGAAAATCGTTAAATAATATATATATTCGTATGTTAAGTCGTGTAAGAAACTAGGTACAACATTAGTTCCAGACAGGCCCGCCGTGTGATAATTTGGATACAGCCGAAATATCACTATTTTTTTGTTTTGTTTAGTTTCATAATTGTAATTGGTTTATCTGAACTATAGAAGCAATATGCCTATAAACTACAAAGGTCTTGTTTACCCGGCCGCTGGTGTTGGGTAGGTATCTAAAAGGCTGCAATACGATTTGCTCGCGGTCCTTATCAGCGGTACCTTTTTAGGCGTACGATTGCGCGTGCTAAATTTATTTTTACTTCTAAGCAACGTTGCCAAATGAGTAAGCAATACGAAGAGTATCTAAAAAATAAAACGCCAGAAAATGTACTTAAGTATTTAGCCATAATTGGAAATAGGTATCAGGGATTTCAAATTTAAATTATTTTATTTATATTATTTTATTATAACGATTTTTTTTTAATGAATATTTTTTCGATATCTATTCCAATATTTAATATTATTTTATTATAACTATTTTTTTTAATGAATATTTTTTTATTTATAATAATTATTATGTTCCTTTATGAGATAGACTGAGTGAGAATATAAAGAATCTGTTTTATTTTGTGTTATAGATTTGACGAAATGTTATTTATCTATTCGAATATTTAATATTATTTTATTATGACTATTTTTTATTATTTGTATATAATGTGATTTTGTATCGAAATTGATGATTTCAACCGTGTACCAATTATTATTGTTTTTTTTTTGAATTTTTGACCTAAAAAATTAAATTTAGAAGGTATCACTGGGCTAGTCGAAAATGTTTTTGTCTTGGGTTTATTCTGCGTTATTATCAAAAACTATATTTTTTTATAATAATAAATATTTTATATTTAAATAATAATTTGGCAACGTCGCATCCAATTTCAAGCGCAATCCTACGCTTTTGAATAGTCAAAACATGATTATTTGTTATTCCGGCACCGCACGCAATCGTATGATTAAAAAGGTAAAACGCGCGCAATCGTACTCCACCGATCTAAAATATATTTTGCAACAAAAAGTTAAATATGTTCAATGCTTATAAAATGGCTAGACAAACAATTAGTATCTACATATGACTATGGTCTATGTTACAAAATTAATCTAGAAATTTCAATGTCCTAGGTAGGTACTTTATGTTCTGGATAATTGTATCAATGAATTGGGCGAATTCATCTACAGAATAACGTGGTTTGAATTACAATGTTTCTCTAACATTTAAAAATCCCATAGTAAAAAAAAAAAAAAATCAGATGGATAAATACTTTGTGATGATCCAATTGAAATTCAAAAAGATAGTTACAGAATAAAAGTATTTAATTTAATTTATGGTCAAGTTGGAAATAGTTTGGAGGAAAGATTATTAAAACATGAACAACTATTCAAAACAATCGCAGTATTATGAAATATGAACCATAAGTATAAACAAAAAAAAATTTGGACATTTTTATTTTATAAATAATAAAAACGGCAACATTGTAAGTAGGTACGTATTTCTGTGCTCAATCGTATTGTATTTTGGATTCCTATATTGTTTGATTGCATCGGGTCGGGAAAAAGGTAAACTGTTCTCAATCGGTAAGACAATGTGTCCCATGGGGAAGTGACCGGACGGCGTTATACAATAGTATACCTACATTAGTTATGAAAGTCATGGCAGTTCATAGTTATGAAAAAAAACTCCTTTAAAGGAGGGCTCTAACTTGTTATTATTTTAGATTTGGGCAATTCAACTTTTTTTTTAAAAAAACCAAACCTATTTCGGGTTTGCTGAGGGATCTTCAAAATTCTTCAACTTTTTGTTGTAATTTTTTTTTAATTTAAAAACTATTTTATCGTGTTATCAGCTAACAAACACAATACAACCAGTAATGTACGAATCATTTTTTATTAAATCGAAAGATATTAAAACCAAATTTTGAACGTATTCTAGGTCTTATTCTGCAGTAGAATAATAAATTTAAAATAAATACGGGGCAATACGTCGATTTTTGAAGTTGCCTGTTATCCTCGATTTCCTTAAAAAAATGTTAATTGTTATCAACTTTTTTTAAATTTTTAAATTTACTAAATACGATAATATGTGCATTTCTGGATTGATTGTGTACCTATAATGTTTGTTGATAGCACAATAAAATAGCTTTGAAATTAAAAAAGAAATTACGATGAAAAGTTGAAAAGTTTTGGAGATTCATCAGCAAAATAGGCGGTAGGTTCGGTTGTGTTTAAAAAAAAAAAATGAAAACTGAACAAAATAACTAAAAATAACTTAAAAAGGTGGGTAAGTGGATGTTGCTCTGCTGTACAGTAGGTTACAAGTGGGTCCCTATATAATGGGTGGTATTAAATTTGAATTCAATGATATAGTACCTTTGCATACGAATGACGATTTAAGCGGAGACGGTTTGTCAGTGTGGATATTTTATATTATGTTTATATATCTATTATTATTACTTATTATTAATACGGTAGCTGGTAAGTTGAATCAATATTATAAAATTACAAC